TTCATGTATTAAAAAACAATTAATCAAATAATAATCAATTAATTAAAAGAAAACAATTAGTAGGATACAAACTAGGATACAAAATGAGGTAACCTGATTTCTAATTGGAAGAAAGGTTAGAGGCTTTCCAAGTTGGGAGAGAGGAAGAGTGAATCTTGGTCAAGTTGGACAGGTGGCAAGTAAGTTTAAAGATCTTTCTTTTCCCAGAATTGAGGGATGTGGATTAATTGCATCCACCTGCATTCATGAAACAATAGATGGCTTATACCATCTATTTTCCAATGGATGATTTGCAGAAAAACAAGATGGAGAAGAATACATATGGCAGCACAAGATGGAGCTGGTGTTCATGAGATAGAATCCAATTGACTCTCTTGATTCCCACACCAAACCAACTCCATTTTGTGACTGGCTTTCACCCTATCTCATGAAAACCAATGTCTAGTAGGAGAGAAGAAAAGATACAAAAATGGGCTGTCTCAGAAGAAAGTGATTTCCCTCTCATTGGAGGTTTTCAAGGAGAGGCTAGATGATTGACCACCTCTGACACATACTGGAGTAGAGATAGAGGGTAAGCTCCTTCAGGGCAGGTAGCACAATGCTGGGTACATGGTAGGCATTTAATAAATGCTTGTTGACTGGTTTATATACATTGAAATACATTCTGGCTCTGAAATTCTGTGACTCTGTATCTACCAAGCTGGTAAAGTTTAAAGTCCAGGCTTGAGGATGGATGCACTTGAGTCATCCAAGGACCAGAGAGGCTCATCTCCAGAGGGGTGGCTAGCACGGGCACAATTTTGTGGGGTTGGGGAGAGGGATTGTTATTGTTTTGTCACAGTAGTCAATGAAAACCAAACTATTAATTCCATTTAGATCAACAAATGTTTAGTAAGCTAGGTTTCCAGGCCCCCCACACTAAGGCATAGGCAGCTACAGTCTGCATCTGGAGAAGGAAGACCCAGCCTCCTGAAATCACAGATAACTGGAATATAATGTGCATAGTGTTTGAAGATTGGTAAAGGGTTTTACATATATTGCCTCATCTGATATAAGTACTTGTGTGACATTGGACAAGTCACATAAGCTACCTGGGCCTCAGTTTCCTCATTTGTAAAGTAAGAGAGTTGGATATTGTTGAGGTTCCTTCCAGCTCTACAGAAGTGATACGATCTGTCTGCCTTCTTTCTGACTGTCCTTCACACCTAGAATATTCTCCCTCTTCACCTCTTAGCTTCCCTGGCTTCCTTCAAGACTCAGCTGAAATCCTACCTTCTTCAATCCCCCAGCTCATACTGCCTTCTCCTCACAGATTGCCTTCCATCTATTCTACGTATATATCCTATATATATAATATATATATTTATATAATGTATATATATGTATATATGTATATATGTGTGTGTATATATACTATATATATACATATATATATATATATGTATATATATACACCTTGATATATACATATTATCTTCCCTATTAGACTGTCAACTTCTTGAGAGCAGGGACTGTTTTGTGCCTCTCTTTGAAGCTCCAATGCTTGGCACAGCGTCTGGCAAATAGAAAACACTTAACAAATGCTTGTTACCTGACAGATACAATATGCAGTAATATGAAAAGGTGTATGATACGGTGTTATTCTTAGAATCTTAGAATATGAGTTAGAAAGGGCTTCGACTCAAAAGGCATCTAGCCCACCTCCTACTGGAACAGAATTCCCCTCCAAGATGTCTCCCAGCAAGTGGTTATCCAGCCTCCACTCAAAGACATTCCCCCTCAAAATCACTTTGTATCTGTGGTGTCTATACCTCTTTGTACATATGGTCCCTCCCAATAGAATGTAAGCTCCTTGAGACTAGGGACTGTTCACTGTTATCTTTGCATCCCTGGATCTTAGCTCAGTGTCTGACCCAGAGCAAGCACTTAATAAATGTTTGTTGATTGATTGGCTTCCAATGGAAGGGAACTTGCTGCCTTCCAGGGCAACCTGTTCAACATTTGGAGAACTTTTCCTTATATGGATCAAAAATCGACCTCTCTTCAATTTCCACCAGTTTCTCCTAGTTCTCCCTCTTGGGGGAGTCTAAGCCTCTTATAACCCTTTGGGGGGTAGGGAACCAACCCTTTTAGGAATAGAAGTACAGGAGGTAAGAGAGTTTGGTCCCATCTGCAGTTCTATTTGGAATGGAATATTGTATAGCCTGTTGGACATAGGCAGTTGGTTGATAAATTTTGCTGTTTTTTTCTCTTTCTTTTTATCTTTTTATAAGGCTCCCTGGGAGGTTGGATGGGGTTAAGCATGTAGGTGTGTGGAGTAGTGGAGAAATGGGACAGAGATCAGAAATGAAGCCAAAATTCAAATACATACATATATATATATATATATATATATATGTAAAAAAGAATGTTCTTCCAGTAATATGGCAACTTATTTGTCATTGAAAAACTAACACTAAAACTGACATTGAAAGACTAACACTAATACGATTAATATCTAAATTTCTGTTTAGAGATCACCAAAAACTGCATCTTCATTAGCCCTGTCTGCCCAGACAGTGCTGTCTTTTTATCTTTGTCATGGATCACAGTGGCCAAAATCTTTTTCACCACATGATCAGTTTTCCAGTGATGAGATCAGCTAGGCTGGCTCTTGGGTGGCAGGTACAGACTGTCGCAGGGAACCTTCTCAAAGCCTTTCTCGTTTGGAGGAGCCCATCACTGCTTAGAGTCTGCAAGCACAATTGACTCAACATGTTCAAAATCAAACTATTATTAATTGTGACCTTAATCATCAAAAACTACAAACATTTCAATATACAAAGAAAAATAAGAAAGAGGATTGTAGAATAGACTGTGGACTTCCATTATGGACAATTTTGTTTTTTAAATAAGTATATATTAACTTTGATTTAAGTTAATTGCAAAATTGCCCTATTTGTGTTCCTTCTGCTCCTCTTTTTGCTTTCTTATTTGCACATTAAAAATTATTGATGCTTTTTTATTTCGTAACCCAACATCTCCCCCAAATAGAAACCCTCCTTTGTAACAATTTTATATTATTAACAACAAAAACCCATATCTCATGCTTATTTCAATCTATACTTCTAATCAAAATAGAATTCTTTATCTTTCCTCTTCCCTCCTCTGCCAAACTTCCTAAGAGAGCACCCTTCTCCTTCAGTTCGCCCCAGTTTCCAATCTCTTATTCCTCTTTACCTCTTCCCCATCCCTCATGACCAGTATTCACTCAAATGTCCCAACCTACTGAATCTCCTTCACAGTGTCTCTCACATCTCTCCTTTCTTCTCCATTCACACACAAACCATCCTAATTCCAGGCCTCTTTACTTCTCACCTGGACTATCTCACTAGGCTCCCAACTGTTCTCCCTGTTTTTAATCTCTCCCTTCTCAAATTTATCAATAAATGAAATGAGTCAGGAGAATATATTAATCATCTGCTATGTGTTAAGCACTGTACCTAGCACTGATGATACAAAGACAAAAATAAAACAATGCCTCCCCTCAAGGTGTTTATATTCCATTGGGAAAGACAACATATCCATGTATAATAAGCATATATAGAATAAATGGATATAACACAAATACAAAATAATTAGGGAAGGAGGGCATCTGCTGTTGGAGGAGTCAGGAAAGGCATTGATGTTTGAGCAACACTGTTCTCCACACAGCTACCAAAATGATACGTTGAAACCATGGGTCTAACAATGTCTCTCCCCCTAGTTAAAAATCTTCACTTGCTCCCTATTGCCTAAAAGAAAAGCTACAAAGTCCTCAGCTTGGCATTGAAAGCCCTTCACATTCTTTCTGCTTCTAACCTCTCTCTTTTTTTTCATAATAGTATTTTTTCCAATTACATGTAAAGATAGTTTTCAACATTCATTTTTGTAAAATTTTGAGCTCCAAATTTTCTCCCTCCCTTCCTCTCTCCCCTCCACCCTCCCCAAGATAGCAAGCAATTTTATATAGGTTATACATGTGCAATCATGGAAACATATTTCCACATTAGTCATGCTGTGAAACAAGAATCAGAACAAAAGGGAAAAACCACAAGAAAGAAAAAACAAACCAAAAAAAAAAAAGGTGAAAATAATATGCTGCATTCTGCATTCAGATTCCATAGTTCTTTCTCTGGATGTGGTTAGCATTTTCCATCACGAGTCTTTTGGAACTGCCTTGTATCATTGCATTGCTGAGAAGAGCTAAGTCTGTCATAGTTGATCATCGCACAATGTCCAACCTATCTTTCTAGAACTATTTTACATTACTGTCTTCCACACATTCTGCATTCTAGCTGAACTGGCCCACTTGTTATTCCCCAGTCTAGCATTCCATCTCCCATTTTCATCCCTTTTCACAGGCTGTCCTGCGTGTCTAGAATGCTCCCACTCCTTACCCCTGCTTCTTGGAATCCCTCGCTTCCTTCATGACTCAGCTCACACGCTACCTCTCACGTGAAGGTTTCCCCGATTCCCCTAGTTGTTGCTTCTCTCTCCCTCCTTAAATTCATATTGTGTCCATCTACTTAAATGTTGTATCCCTGCCCCCAGAAGTGTGTAAGCTCCCCGAGGGCAGGAATGGTATTGATTTCTATCTTTGTATCCCTAGGACCCTGCACAGAACCCCACATATATCAGGTGTCTGATAAAAGCTTCCTGAACTGAACTGAAATAAGATGGATGGAAGACAAGTAAACTGAATTGTCTTCAAGAACCCAAGGTCTCGTCTACACCACTAGCAACTGAGTAGAGCTGTAATGAACATAAAAATGTACCAAAGGATGCCAAACTGGGCATGGTACTCATTTTATAGATAATCATCTCTTCACAGATGTTTTCCAAGTTCAAATTTTTATATATGTCAGGTTTTCTTAAGGCAGGATTCACTAACCATTCCTGGGAGATTCTGTAACATTAAGTTTCTAAAACCATTGAGATGGAGAAGGTGCTTACTGCTCCAATGGTTGGTGTCTCCCTAGCTCATCAAGACAGCAGAGTTGGACCCAACCCAGAACTATATTGCTGGCTTCCACCCACATGGCGTTCTGGCTGCTGGAGCCTTTACCAACTTTTGTACAGAAGGCACCAGTTTTTCTTCTGTGTTTCCTGGGATCCGCTCCCATCTGATGATGCTGACTTTGTGGTTCCGAATTCCCCTCTTCAGGGATTATATCATGACTGGAGGTATGTTTCTTCCCCTACCCATTTCCCCATTGCCAGTCCCTACCCATACCTGATTTGTGAAGGAGGATGTCTCTGCACAGTGGTGGGAATTGGTTCACAAAGATAGAAAGACTCGTTAAAAGAGACCAGCCAATAGTACTTGTCCCTCTACCAAGGCAATGGCCTCTGATATGAAGTAAGAGAGATTTTGGTTAGATTGGGGTGGGGGGAGGGGAGAGATTTCAGTAATAAGTGTTGGGAGACATTGAACCTAAACTGCCAGAGTCGGAAATACTGATCACTGGATCATAGGATGGAATTAGGGGACCCAGGTTCAAGTTCTGACTCAGCCATTTACTAACTATATTTCCTTAGGGAGGTCATTTAACTCTCTAGCCTCAGTTTCCTCTGTAAAATAAAGGGTTTGGACTAGTTGACTTCTGAGGTAATTTCCAGCTCTAAATCTATGAAACTGTTAGAAGTTTCATTTGTTAAGCATTTACTACATTCCAGGAATTGTGCTAAGTGCTTGGGATACAAAAAAAAGGCAAAAACAGTCCCTCCCCTCAAGGAGCTTACAATCTAACGGAGGAGACAAGAAGCAAACAACTTGGTATGAACCAGATATATACACGATAACTTGGAAGTAATTTCTAAGGGAAGGTGGGCCCAGATGTGTGCTCATAAATATTTGCCTAGCTTTCAGGAACCAGTTTGATTTGTCTCCAGCACACCCCTAGAAGGCACTTACACTAAGCAGATAGTGGGATTTTAACTAAGCCTGGAAGGAAGAAGCCAGGAGGCTGAGTCAAGAAAGGATACATTCTGTTCTTCCTAAAACATTTATTTAGAAAAATTATCTCATGTTTCTGCATCTATCCTGTAAAATTATTTTGGTGTCACATTATTGAGAAAGTTACTTTAAAAAAAATGTAATGTAACATTCAAGATAATGAGCCACAAAAATTCAGTTGGAGTTTTCACTGTATGGCGTACTAAGTGTAAACCCAAGTTAAATATCTTGTTAATGGCCATTTGTAAATTAAAGTACTACCACTGGTCAATAGTTTTGTATGATTAATAGAATAAAGAGTTGTTATCTGCAAAAAAAAAAAAAGGAAGAAGAAGAAGAAAGGGTACATTCTATATGTATAGCCTATATCAGGTTGTGTGCCATTTTAGGAAGGAAGGCGGGGAGGGAGGGGGAGAAAAATTTAAAACTCAAAAGCTCATGGAAGTGATTGTTGATAAGCAAAATAAATTAATAAAAAAAAAAGAAAGAAGGAAAGGATACATTCCAGGCATGTGGGACAGCCAGTGGAAATGCCTGAGGTCAGGATATGGAGTGTCTTATGCAAAGAACAGCAAGGAACCTAGCTTCTGTGGAGGTGACTAACGGTAGACAAGGAACAGGTTTCAAAGGACTTTGAAAACCAAACAGGATTTTCCATTTGGTCCTGGAGGTAACAGGGGGTCACTGGAATATGTTGAGTAAGGAGAGTGATGTGGGCAGTCCTGTACTTTAGGAAGATCACTGACAGAGGAGTACAAGATTGGGGAGAGACTTGAAACAGGGAGAGTAGCCAGCAGGCTACTGCAATAATCCAATAATGAGGTGATGAGGGCCTACACCAAGGAGGGGTCACTTTCAGGGGAGGGAAGGGGACATGTACTAGAGAGGCTACAAAGGTGAGAATGGCGGATATGCAATGGATTGGTTAAGGGTGTGAAAGGGAGAGTGAGGGGTCAGGGATGACACCTAGGTTTCCAGCCTGGATAACTAGGACAGGGGTGGGGAACCTGCAGCCTCGAGGCCACATATGGCCCTCTAGATCCTCAAGTGCAGCCCTTTGACTGAATCCAAACTTCACATTTGTCCTGTTAAATTGTTCACTCAAAGGGCTGCACTTAAGGATCTAGAGGTCCACATGTGGCCTCAAGGCCACAGCTCTGTGAGGTTTGGATTCAGTCAAAGGGCCACATGTGAGGATCTAGAAGGCTACGTGTGGCCTCAAGGCCAAAGGTTCCCCACCCCTGGACTAAGAGGATGGTGGGGCCGTTGACAGCTGCAGGGAAGTTAGGAAGAGAGGAGGGTTTGGGGGAAAAGATAATGAGTTTAGTTTTGGACAAGCTGACTTTAAAATGTGTATGGGACATCCAGTCCAATAGGGAGTTGGAGATTCAAATCAGACCTAATGAAAGAGGCTAGGGATAGATAAATAGATCTGAAAATTATCTGCATAGAGATGATAATTGAATCCATGAGAGCTGATGAAATCACCAAGTGAAATAGTATAGGAGAAGAAGAGAAAAGGGCCTAAGACAAAGTTAGAATGACTTTCAGCGATCATAAGACTTAAAGATAGAAGCTCCTCATCTGTTTTACCCTCCCAGTTTGCAAATGAGAAAACTGAGGCCAAGAGAAGGGTTTTGATTCAGATGAGTTTACAAAGATATTGAGTAGCAGAGCAGAGATTCTTCTGTGACCCAGCTCTTCTGATTTCAAATTCAATGCTGTTTCCACTGCACCAAACTCTCTTAAAGATTTATATGGAAGAAAGAGAATACAGCCTTTGAGGAATTTCCACTTTCATAGAAGAGAGACATGGTCCTTTCTCCCAATCTGTGTTGTGTAGCAGAAGTACCAGACTCAGGTTTGAGTCCTTCTGGTCTCCTTACTAGCTATGTAACTCTAAGAGAGTTTCTATCTGTCTCTGGGACTCAGTTTCGTTATCTGTAAATAAGTTGATTGAACTAGATGATATCTGAAATTCCTTCTAACCCTAAATCCTTTTGATCTTACAATGAGTGATAGAGATCCCACACACAAAGACCCAGTTGTGATGGGAGAGACGTGGTCTCTGCCTTTGAGGAGCTCCAAGTCTGGGCAGATATGGTCCTCTCCCTGGGATGCCCTAGGTGGTGTCACAAACAAAGAAATGACAAAGAGGAAACTTTTTCCAGAATACATATTGACAGTTTGACACAGACAAAATATAAATTGAGTATGTAAGCACCGGGGCATGCTCTGAGTGGAAGAATGAATTACTTGGGGGTATGATACCAGACAGCTTCCTCAGGGAGGTAAGTTTGGCAGTGGGTAAATAATGTAGATCACTGAGGAGGACGAAGAGAGTTTTCTAGATGACAAGAATAGTAAATGCAAAGGCACAGACCATGGAATAGGTCAGCAGGAACAGAAAACAACTATTCTTTGCTAGCATAAGGGGTCTATTTAGAGGCGTCATGAGAAAGATTGATGATATGAATAACTTGCACTTCTATAACCACTTAAAGTATTCAATGCATTATAAGGAACATCCCTATAAAGAAAGTCATGCAAGTGTCCCCCTTTTACAGAAAAGGAAACTAAGGCTAAGAGAGAGAAAATGGTATATCCATAGCTACCCAGGTAGTAAGTTTCAGAGTTGGGATTCGAACCTGGGTCTCCTGACTACAAGTCCATTATTGTTTCCACTACACCTTGATGACCTTTGGAGCATGAAGATGTATTATAATACTTGTTCTGGAACACACCATAAACTCCCCTTTTCAGTTGCCTTCCCATGTACTGACTGACCTGGGACCTCAAGGATGCTGTGTCCCTTCCTGATTTGCAACTCCCTCAAGGGGACAAGGAGGGCCGTATTCTCATTGGGTATCACGAGACATTCTCATGTGGGTGTCACCATCATGCAAGACCTGGTGCCTTTGTCTCCCTCTCTGTTCCCTAACCCCGACCTCCATCAGGTCTAGTCACATCAGAGAAGGAGTGTGTCTCGTACCTGCTGAGTAAGAAGAAAGGTGGAAACTTGCTGGTGGTCATTGTGGGAGGGTCCCAGGAGGCCCTGGATGCTCGTCCTGGAAGCTACACACTACTACTGAGGAACCGGAAAGGATTTATTAAACTTGCTTTGCTTCATGGGTAAGGCCCATTCTTAGTTTTTTAGTTACTCTAAGACCAATATGTCTTCTATTCTGGTGTTGAGATGCCAAAAGAAATTACACTTTAAAGAGAAGACTTTCAGTCCTATGACAATATAGCTATCTCTTCCTTATTAGTGTTGGTTTTTTTTTTTTATCCCCAGTGCCTAGCACTGATTCCTGTTCAGGACTAAGTGGTCTTTAAAACATCTTTTAACTCTTAAGATTCTGTGAGGTTGTGGGTACCTGAGGGGAACTTGGCAGATTAAGGGCTGAGGCCTGCTCTGTAAAGATGGTATCAGGGATTGTGGCCTCAGCTTTCCTCAGCACTGTTCAATGGCTGTTGACCAGAGCTCCTGGAGAAGGAGCCTCGGTGCTGAACCCAGGACCCCTGTCCACCCTGCATCTGAGCACCCCAGGCATGAGCATTTGTCTCACCTCTGCCTCATCTCCTCTCCGTCTTTCCAGGGCAGCTCTAGTGCCGATATTCTCCTTTGGGGAGAATGAACTCTTTGACCAAGTTAACAATCCCCAGGGGTCCTGGCTACGCTGGATCCAGGAGAAACTGCAGAAGGTCATGGGCATCTCCCTCCCGCTTTTCCATGGCCGAGGGATCTTCCAGTACAACTTTGGCCTGCTCCCTTACCGGCAGCAAATCACTACTGTGGGTAAGTTACAAGGAGGTCAAGGGATGTGGGACTGACATGGGATGGGCCCTAAGTGTCCCACTCTTTAGGCTCCGTTCTTGCCTATGTCCCAGCATAGCTCCCATGTACAGCCGCATTCCCCTGCTGGTCTCTAAAATCCCCCTCCATGGAAGCCAAAAGGCAAAGAAGTTCTGTGCTAAAATCATAGAAGGAAACTTAGTCCAACATTTTCATTTTGCTGATGAGAAAACTGATGCCCAGAGAGCAAAAGCAACTCTTCCCAAATTCACCTAGGCAGTAAACAGCAAAATGGCAATGCTCTTTTCATCTGTTTGGGTTGGAGTGAGGCACCAACAAAGAAGGACTTATGGCGTATCTAAGTTAGAAGGAACCTCACGGTCATCCAGCCCAAAACACGGATCCCCAACAAATGGACGTCCAGCTTCCATTTGAACATCTCCAGTTATGGGCAGCTCACTACCCCCCAAGGCAGCCCATTGTACTTTGGGATGGCTTGGTTGTTAATCCTCTCTTCCTTATACGGCGGCATGGAAACAGTTATCTGCAAGTTAGACTTATAGTGTCATAGATTTACGCTAAGAGACCTTAGAAATCATCTAGTTCAATCCCTTCATTTTACAGATGAGGAAACTGCGGCCTAGAGAGGCAAAGTGACTTTTCTCAGATCATGTAGGAGGGAAGTGGCAGAACCAGGGTTCAGACCTGGTCCACTGACTACAGGCTTTCCATTGTGCCATGTGTTTTCTCCTAAGTACTTCCCTCAGTATCCTTAGTTCTGCCCCAGGTTAGGATGTATCTTCTTCTTCCACAAGAAAGCACTTTGTAAACCTTAAAGAGCTAAGTAATGTCAGTTATTGTTATAGTATCGTAACAGAATACCTTCAAATGTGAGCCCTTGTTATTGTTATTATTAATAACAATAATAATTACTAGCATGAATATAGTACCTACTGTGAGTCAGGCATAAACACTTTACAAATATTAACTCATTTGATCCTCTCAGGGGGCTGGGAACTGATATTACCCCATTTTGCAGATGAGGAAACTGAGGCAGACAGTGTGGAAGTGACTTGCCCAGGGTCACACAGCTAGTAAGTGTCTAAGGCTGAATTTGAACTCAGGTTTAGAGGCTTAGTGTCTACAACAAGGGAGATGATAATCTCACTGAACGTTGCTCTGCTTAGACACATCTGGAATATTTTATCCAGTTCTGGGGCTATATTTTAAGGAGGCTCAAAAAAATGAAATGCATCCAGAAAAGGATAAGAAAGATAGTGAGAGGATGGAAGATGAGATCATGTGAAAATTAATTGAAGGAATTGAGAATGTGTAGCCAGGAGAAGAAAAGATTGGAGGAGAAACATGATTGCTGGCTTCAAGGATCAAGAGCTATTCTGCGGAAAAAGGATAAGATCGGGGCGGCTAGGTGGCGCAGTGGATAGAGTGCCAGCCCTGGAGTCAGGAGGACCTGAGTTCAAATCTGGCCTCAGACCAAACACTTGACACTTACTAGCTGTGTGACCCTGGGCAAGTCACTTAACCCCATTGCCTTGCCAAAAAAAGGACAAGATCTTTTCTCCTTGGCCCTAAAAGTTTTAGTTGCAGAAAAACAAATTCAAATTTGATGTCAAGAAAAACTTCCTACCCAACAACTCACGAAAGGGAGCTAAAAGCAAGAGTGGGGAGGAAGAGTTTGACAGCTCTTTTGGAGTCCAGAAAGCCAGGAACCGAGAAAAGGAGGGGAATGAAGGAAGGCCCTCGTGGCCCTTCACAAAATGGAGCTTCCGGGAGGCACTCACTGCTGGGGGCAGGGGGGCAAGCCTTGAAGAGGGATGTCCCAGGGTGAGCAAGGATGGTAGCATGTTCTAGGGGTATGGGTAGGCCCCAGACTCAAGGGAAATTCCAGGATGAGATAGCAGGAGGTAGAATTTAGAAGTACAGAAAATCAGAAATAGAACTGGAAGGTACCTTAGAGATCAATTACTCCAACCTCCTTTTCATAGTTAAGTCAAATGAGGTTCCCGCAGTAATTACGAAATCAGAAAGCCGGGATTGTCATCCAAGTCCTTGAACCTCCAGCCCTGCTACAGCACTCTGATGCTCACCAAGCTTTGTCATCATTACGTGCAAATTAACAGTTAATTGGCGCTGAGAGATGGCTAAAGCCCTGTCTGATGAGGAAAGAACATGCACTGGGCTTTATGACAGTTGTTTTGGCTGTTCAGAGGTTGTATTTGTTTCATGCTTGGTTCTTGGCTGTTTTCTGATGAGGAAAGGTTGCTAGATAACTGATTTCTGGAAAAGGAGGTGTTACTATATTAAATTATAGAGTAGTTTATTATCATTACAATGATCGTTTTTATCATTATACTTTAATACCTCAAAAATATCCGTGTGGGTCCTCTCTGTACGCATAAAGGTTGTGGCTCTTCTGAACTTTGGTAGACTATTTATTTAATGAGTTGTTGTGGCTGAAAATCTTGATCCCCTGGTGATAAGGCCCTCCCCATTTCCCTAGGCTGGTGCTTAGCAGTAGACCTATACTCAAAGTCTTTCCAGCTTAGTGGAATCTACCAGACTATTATCATCATTATTGTTGTCACCATTATTAATACTTTTGCCTTCAGCATTTGCTAGATAGACCTTGGGAGGGTCAGTCAACATCACTGAGCCTCAATTTCCTTATCTGTGAAGTGGAAATTGTAATCTTTGCACTACTAACCTCATGCAGAGAGGGGGACATGGAATTAGGTGGCACATAGGAATAAAGTGGATAGAATGCTAGAACTAGAGTCAGGAAGATTTGAGTTCAAATTTGGTTTCAGAACCAAATAGCTGTGTGACCCTGGGTAAGTGATAATCTCTGTCTATCTCAATTATCCTTATATGTAAAATGGATATAACAGTAGCATCTACTTTTCAGGGTTGCTGTGAGGATAAAAATATATAACATAAAACACTTTGCAAACTTTAAAGTGTTATAGAAATTTTAGTTATTATTATTATGCCAAAAGAAGAGAGAGAGAGAGAGAGAGAGAGAGAGAGAGAGAGAGAGAAGAGTTAGGTGGCACACAGGCAATAGAGGTCAATAAAATGGTGGACCTGAAGTCAGGAAGACCTGAGTTCAAATATGACTTCAAAAACATAGCCATGTGACACTGGGCTAGTGACAACCTTCTGCCTCAATTATCTTCTTATGCAAAATGGGTATAACAATAGCATCTACCTTCCAAGGTTGTTGTGAGGACAAAAAGATATAACATTTATAAAGTGCTTTGCAAACTTTAGACAGGGATAGGGAGATGGAGAGACATGGAAACAAAGACAAAGGCAGAGACAGAGACACAGAGAATTTATTTATTTATTTATTTTGGCTAGGCAATGGGGTAAAGTGACTTGCCCAGGGTCACACAGCTAGTAAGTGTCAAGTGTATGAGGTCAAATTTGAACTCAGGTCCTTCTGACTCCAGGGCCAGCGCTCTATCCATTGTGCAACTTAGCTGGCCCCAGAGGGCATTTCCTAATCGCTTACTAGGCACTATACTAATCATTGAGGATACAAGTACAAGCAAACAAGACAGTCCTTACCCTCAAGGAGTTTACATTCTAATGGAAGAAGACAAATATATCTAGGGGAAGAAAATGTGAGAAGCTGCATGGTGGCCTGAGCCCTGGCAAGATGAGGCCCAGAAGCTTTACCTATAAGAGTCAGTGGCTTGAGCCAGGTAGGAGTGGTGGATAGGGTACTAGACTTGGAATCGGGAAGATGGATTCTAATATTGCCTCAGATATTTTTGACCCTGGACAAGTTCCTTAGCCTCTCTGGGCCTCAGTTTCCTTGTCTGTAAAATAAGGGCCTTGGACTCACTGGCCTGTAAGGTCTCTTCTAGCTTTAAAATATATGGCGTTATGATATGTGGCCTTCATTTCAGCAGGAGATTGCATCACTGACTCTGAAGCTATTGGGTTAAATGGTAACAGTGGTGAATTCTCTCCTCTGGACCTCTCTGTTATTGTTGTTGTCATTTCAGTCATGCCCAACTCTCTGTGACCCCTTTTGGGATTTTCTCAGCAAAGATACTGGAGAAGTTTGCCATTTGTTTCTCCATTTCATTTTACAAATGAGAAACTAAGGCAAAAAGGGTTAAGTGACTTGCCCAGGGTCACCCAGTAAGTGTCTGAGACTGGATTTGAACTCAGGAAGATGTGTCATTCTGACTCCATACCCAGTGCTCTGTGCACTGTGGCACCACCTAGCTGCCCCTTCTCTCTATTACCAATGCCCATTCAAACCCTAGGCATCCAGTAGCCCTAACCTTAAGAGCCTGAGCATTCATGGTGCTTAGAAATGCTTCAAAGACAACACGTCACTGGATGAATCCCATTTGACAGGCAGAGAAACTGAGACCTTGTGTATTATTAGCCCAGGATGTCGTATATGATTGTTGGTGTGAGTGTCAGTTTAGGCCCAAGAATTTGCCCATTCATTGGATCTCTGTTTGTTGGGGGAGGGGGGAAGTACATATGTCCTCTCACCCTCTCCCTCTGCTTTGTATCTCCCAGTGGGGAAACCCATCAAGGTGGAGCAAAATATCAACCCATCCCAAGAAGACGTGGACCGTCTGCACCAGCGTTACATGACAGAACTGTGCAACCTCTTTGAAGCCCACAAGATCAAATACAACATCCCCCCAGAGCAGCACCTGGAGTTCCGATGAGCCCGCCACCTCCCATGCTCCCCCTCTGCCCTGTCCTTGGGTGACATCACAAGACAATGAAGCCTTGACTAGCAACCGTGGTGCCTATAGCAGCAGAAGAAACAATTCCTATCCATCTTATTCATACTTAGAGGATATAGAGTCCAACCCCTTATTTTACACATGAGGAAATGGAGGCCCAGAGACGTGAAGTGACTTTCCCAAGGTCACACATCTAATAAGAGTCAGAAACAGGATTCGAACTAAGGTCTTCTCAACTCCAAAGGCAACACTGTATGCATTGACCTACTTAGCTGCTCCATAATTCATGATATGAAAAAATGTCAAAAGTAATTAAGAAAGCTTCAATTGAGGGGTTATGGAAAGGTAAGCACATGAACGTGTTGTTGGGAAAACTGCAGATTAGTACAACTATTTTGGAAAGCAATCTGAAATCATTCAAATAAAGGGCTAAAATGTTCATGCCCTTGGTTCTAGAAAATTCTGCTGCTAGTCATATATCCCGAGGAGGGCATTGATAAAAAGAAAGGCACCAGATACACCAAAGTATTGATGGCAGCACTTTTTTGTTAGCAGAGAACTAAAAACAAAGTAGCTGCCCATCTGCTGGGGAATGGCTAAACAAACTACGGTCCATGAATGTAATGGAATATTACTATGCTGTAATAAATTATATGTGTCATGAATACAGAGAAGCATGGAAAGATCTACACAAACTGATGCAGAGTGAAGTAAGCAGACCCAGGAAAACAATATTCACAGTAACTACAACAATGCAAATAGAAAGAACAATCACAAACCAATCAAAACTGAAAGTTGCAAAATACAAACAATGAGCTTAACCCCAAAGAGCTATGAAAAGACCCCACCTCCACTCTTTTGTAGGAGAGGGTGGTGGTGGGGCATGGGTATGGCATATTGCATCTATTGGCAGAGTTTTCAAAGTGTTGGTTTTTTCTATTTTTTTTCTCATCTTCATTTTCTTTTTAAAGAAATCTTTTGTTATATGGGATGGCTCTCTGGGAGGTAGGAAGGGAGATAAGGATTCCGGGGAAAATTCAGACAATGTGAAGACAAAAAATAAATCAATAAAAATTTTGTTTTAAAAATCTTTGTTTGAATGGGAATGGAATAAAGGATTTAATTACTAATTATAGGGTTGAGTCAGATGCCTTCAGCCACACTCACAGTTTCATTACTACAGAAGGAGGATTACTTCGCTAACTCTGAAGCTCTTGTGTTGAATGATGAAAGATGAGGTACTGTAGGGCCTTCTCCCCACTACCACTAGCTACTCTACCCCTAGGCATCTAGGGGCTGAAAGAAAGTTGTTGTTTTTCATTTATGTCTAACTCTTTGTGATTTCATGGACCATAGCACACAAAGCCCTTCTATCATATACTATCTCTTGAAGTCTGTCCAAGCTCAATTTCATTTCTTCCATGACACTACCTATCCATCTCATCTTCTGCCATGCCCTTTTCCTTTTGCCTTCAACCTTTTCCAACATCAGGGTCTTTTCCAATGAGTACTGTCTTCTCATTATGTGGCCAAAGCATTTAAGCTTCAGTATTTGACCTTCCAGTAAACAGCCTGAATTAATTTCTTTAAGTATTAACTGATTTGATCTTGCTGTCCAAGGAACTCTCAAAAGTCTTCTCCAGCACCTCAATTCAAAAGTATCTATTTTGCAGCACTAAGTTTTCCTTATAGTCCAACTCTCACAGCCATTCATTGTTGCTGGAAAAACTATAGCTTTGACCATATAGACTTTTGTTGGCAAAGTGACATCTCTGCTTTTTAGTATGCTGTCCAGATTTGCCATAGCTTTCAACTTTTCATTTCATGATTGCACTCACCATCTGCAGTGATCTTTGAGCCCAAGAATATAAAATTCAGCACTAATTCCATTTTTTCTCCCTCTATTTGCCAGGAAGTGATGGGACCAGTTGCCATGATCTTTGTTTTTTTATGTTAATCCTCAAGGCAGTTTTTACACTCTCCTCTTTCACCCTCATCAAGAAGCTTCTTAATTCTTTTTCACTTTCTGCCATCTGAGTGGTATCATCTGCAGGTCTGAGATTGTTGGTATTCCTCCCAGTGACTTTAATTCTAGCCATTGATTCATCCCCCCTGGCATTTCACATGATGTCCTTTGCATATTTGTTCCTTCAAAATTTTGCTGCCCTGAGGCAAAGTCCCAGTTGCCTGGCCTAATTATCACTCAGCAATGTAAATCATGGGTTCCCATTTTTACTTTGGTTCCTTTGAAAGGCGATATTGGGTATTGGACTTCGAATCAAGAAGACCTGTGTTCAAATCCTGTCTCAGACACTTAATAGTTGTGTGACTCTAGGCAAGTTTCTTGACCTCTCTTGGCCTTAGTTTCCTCATTGTGAAAGGAATAGAATAGTCTCATTAGCCTCTAATATTCCTTCTAGTTCTCTGTTCCTGCATTGCCTCAGGCATTTCTCCTTGAACTTGAGATCCAGGAATCTTTTCTTCCCTGTCAGAGGTGGGGCAAAAGAGAAACTTGAGTACCCAGACCTAGACTAGGGGAGTGGGAAGGGAAGCTGCAAAAAACATCCAGTGTTGGATGTCAAGTTTGGGATGAGACCTCCAAAGCCCATCCCCTGCCCAATCACCTTCCTTTCTCTATCTTCAAACTGTAGGATGTGGGGGCAGGTAGGTGGCGCAGTGGATAGAGCACTAGCCTTGGATTCAGGAGGACCCAAGTTCAAATCCAGTCTCAGACACATAACACTTACTAGCTGTGTGACCCTGGGCAAGTCACTTAACCCCATTGCCTAACCAAAAAAAAAAGAAAGGAAAAAAACAAACTGTAGGATGTGAACATTTCTAGTCCCATTGCCACACAAGAGTACAAGAAACTGTCCTCCCCCTGAAAAGGCTTTGAGAATGGATAAAATACAAATTCCATGAATTTACTACCTGTATGACCATGGACTCTTCCCTTCTCTGGGCCTCAGTTTCCTCATTTGTAAAGCGAAAGGGTTAGACTAGATAGGATTCTTAACTTGAGGTCCACAGTTCCCTCCCAAGGAATCCATAGACAGATTTCAGAGTGTCCATGAAGCTGGATAAGAAAAAATTATATCTATTTCAATATAATTGGTTTTCTTTGTAATCCCATGTATTTTATATATTTAAAAGCATTATTTTGAGAGGGGGGCCATAGGCTTTACCCAAATGCCAAAGGGGTCCAAGAAATAAAAAAGGGTGAAAACCTCTTCTCTAGATTATCTCGTAGGCCCCATCTTACCCCTCTCTCTTAGGCCTATGTTTCTTAGGCCCTTAAAACCCACAATCCTATGAGTTCATCTAAGGTCCTTCTACTTTCTCTCTGACTAGCACTGTGGGCATGGCATTAAGACAGTCAAGTTCAGTCTTCTCTTATCCCAGCCGTCTCTGAATCCATCTGTTTCAGGGAACCAGCTGGAGCTCAAACTTTATCCAGGAGGCAGAAAGGAATCATTGACATTTTGGGGACCTGGATTATTCAGCATAAGCAAATAGTGATGTCTTACCAAGGTAACCTTGGAAGTGGATGCTGGTTGTTTTGATGACCAAGATATCAATTGATAAGGAAAATGAGGACCTGGACTGAGGTGGTAACTGGTGGAATGAAGAGAAAGGAATGGGTGGAGGAGGTAGTTTCAAAGAGGATCTATGGACTGGTTAGATAGGTGGTGTTGTTGCTCGGTCATTCCAGTAGTGTCCAACTCTTTGTGACCCTACTTGGGGTTTTCTTGGCAAAGATACTGAAGTGGTTTGCCATGTCTTTCTCCAGATCATTTTTACAGATGAGGAAACTGAGGCAAATTGTCCAGAGTGACACAGCTAGTTAAGTGTCTGAGGCCAGATTTGAACTCAGATCCTCCTGACTCCAGGCCTGGCACTCTATCCACTGTACCACCTAGGTTTCCTGGTTAGATATGTAGGATGAGAAAAAGATGCCTAAAACTTGAGTCTGGGTGACTGGAGGTGTCATCAACAGAAATAGGGAAGTTAGGGAAAGGAACACATTTTTTGGTGGTAAAGATGGCAAGTTCCATGTTGGAAATGTTGAGTTTGAGATGCCAGTGGGACACCCAACTCAAGTTACTTAGCAGGGAATTAGAAATATAGAACTCTAACTCAGGCAAGAAAGAAAGCCTGGAGATATGGATTTAGGAGTTAGCTGCATGAAGTCAATTATTGAGGATATGGGGGTGAATGAAATCAACAAGGAAAAGGGAAAAGAAAATGAAGAGGATTGGGCCCAAGGCCATGTACTCCATCCTCAGCCTAATTTTACTTCTAAGGCTACCTTCCACAATCATCTGATCCCCACAGCACCCAGTGATTTGTATGTGAGGGCAAGGGCTGGGTCATTTTTCCTCTATGAATTCCCAGTGATCTGAACCTTGTAAGCACTTAAATGTCTTCTTCATTCAGGGGTGAGCTGAAGCAAGCTTGAACCAGTGCTAGAGAGCACGTTGTTAAATTTTCAATATGAGCATTTACACCTTGGAAATCAGAAACAAAATGTCTATAGTGCAGGTTAATCTAAAACTGTGTTGAATATTTACTAGCACACCCTTGGTTCATTGAACTGAATTGAACTATTTATCAGATACTTGGAGAGAGGAAAGAGGAATAAGCATTTATTAAACACCAACTATGTGCTAAGTGCTAGACAGATATTAACTCAGTTGATCCTCACAACCCTGTGAGGTCAGTGCTACTATGATCTCCATTTTACAGATAAGGAAACTGAGGCAGAGGAAGTTACTTGCTCAGGGTCACACAGCTAATAAGTGTTTGAGGCTGAATTTGAACTGGTCTTCCATTGTGCCACTGGCTGTCTCTTTGCTGGCTTGTTTCAATGTAACTCTTGTGTCAAAGGCTCCTTCATGATCCAAAAGACCTGATAGACTTTAGGGACTGCTCACTTCTGGCTACTTGGCCTCCACTCAGATTTTCTGGGAATTTCAGTGACTGACCCTCCCCTATGGAGAGGCATCATCCTCCCCCGCCCCCCATATGAGATCATAAGGGGAAGTGGATCAAAACATGAAATTTTACTCATAATTTAGTGGAAACAGATAAAACTTGCATCGGTCCCATAGAAATTAATGGCACCTCCCACCAACCCACCCTGGGGAACCATGAAACCACTAGGTTTATCAGACTCTGACATTTTACCTCCATTGTATTGCTTGAACTCTCCTGGGCCAATAAATTAATTTGTTGATACCAGTTCATTATGTGCTAAATATGTAAAAAGCTTCTACCTATAGTCATTGTTGGGTTGCCCCAGTCTCAGGCTGTGGGTCTCTAAGGATGTCTGGACACATATCTGACGGCATCTGTGATGCCGCATACCCTTAGAGGCTGAGCATCCTGAGACCCTGGATGCAGTCAAGGCGGGGCAGGATGACTACACAAGCAGAAATGGCTCGGTGTTGCCATGTGCATCCTTGGCCCATCCAACAGCAGATTCATCTTGTCCTTGGCGAAGCCCAGTATCTGAGAGAGCCTATCATCACATTTGGTGATGGCTGACCCAGTGGGCACCTAGCAGGCATGGTCAGGCATTAGTATCTTGTCCCCTGCAGGTCTACTTTTACTGTGCTTGGATGCTCTCCACA